GTGGAGACACACAGGTAAATCAGGAACCTCTTGAGGGGTTTGCAGTCTAATGGAATTACAAACACTGACCACGAGCCTGGATATGGAATCGAAATACAGTTGCAAGGAGATGACGCAGTAGCTAGAGTTTAGCTGCTATAAGAGTCTTGGAAGTTGTTAGGACTTAGCTATCAAGACACAGGCGGGGGATATGGAGCATGACCGTAAACAGGCTGCGCCTCCAGACACAGGTCATTAGGGAGTGGAGGGGCAGCAGCAGGTGAGCGTGATTTACAGCAGTGACTCACTTTCTTTGTGCTTCTGTCTGTGCTGGAGTCAGTTTTGCACCCATGCCTAGGAAGATGAATCCTCAAGTAGAAAGCAAAAATGTAGGGGTTCAGATCTTCCCTATCGGAAACTCTGGGGCTGATGCTGAATGATTTGTATTTCAACCATCCCTCCCAGTGATTCTGATGTGAAAGTATGAGAACATTTAGAATATTTTTCCCTCCAATCTATTTTTTTCCCTTAATGAGCGGAATGTGAAATTATACTCTCAGACAGGTCGTTATCTTATCCCTTCCCTCTGTGTTCCACACTGTTGTAGTCACAGCTTTTAGGTAATAAAAACATTAATGCTGATTAATGTTATCTCTATGCTGAGATACAGGTTGAAGAAAACTTGGCTGTTAATAAAAAGCAGTTTCTTCAGTATGTTTTAGATACTGCAGACTATCTTAGAATCTCCATCTAGTTATTTATCTCTCAGTAAATAATCTCTTAAGCACTGCCATCCAAAATGAGTTTTAAAAATTCTTGTTCAGGAGTATTTAATATAATTACTGATATTGTACCAGGCATTGCCTTAGTAGTCTTTCACTGTGTTACATGTTAAGTAGTCTCTTGTGTTCTTGCTTAGGAAGGTAATTGCCATTTATAATATTCTTCCCATTAGAAGATACATTCTTAATTCCAAACAGATGACTTATAATTAACTTAGGATACACAGCTTGCAAGCTGAAGAAGTCCTGTGTGTAAACTCAATGGGATATAAAGATATTTGACAGTAGTGTTTGCTAGTTGCTCATAGATGCAGATGCTTTTTCTTATGGGTTCTTAAGTCATTAATTTCAATTGTGCATCTCCCTTAACAAGCATACATAAAGTATTTTTGTTATTATACCATGCCTTTGCCTTTAGTTTATAAATAATTTGAATCAGGAAGTTGAAGTGGCTTTCTGAAGAATATACTATCAGAAGTAGGTGAACCCTAGATCCATCAGTTTCTCTTGTGTTTCATCAGCGGATTTAAGTTGATTCTCAATCCAAATAAAAACCCATTATCAATATCTAAATACCATTTTAAGTAGGTATAGTTGTAATGAAATTGTTTCCCAGAGAATCAATGGTAATTGCACCATTTAAAGCTCAGAATTGAGACAAGATTATAAATACAGCCCAGATATGCTTGTTTATGCAACAATTTACCGGAAGATGCCTAATTTTTGTTAACAGTGAAACCTAGAAATAAAAGGAAAATCAACTGGAATTTAAACAAAAAGGCCCATATGATTAAATACTTAGGAGCTACAGAACAATGAGGACAGATAAAGACTTGTATTGCTTAAGATTCTTTTATCAAAAGTTGTCATAAGAGAGGGAAGGCAGAACTATGAAAGTATTGAAGACCAGGATTACCTAAGGTGCTGTGTTAGGCCTCTCCAGAGAGAGAGGACCAGTAGGATGTATGAGAGGGGATTTATTAGGGGGAATTGGCTCACGTGATCACAGAGGGAGAGAGGTCCTGCAATAGGTTTTCTGCAAGCTGAAGGGCCTATGAATCTGGTAGCATAGCTCAATCCAAGTCTGGAAGCCTCAGAACTGGAGAAGCTGACCTTGTAGTCCCCAGTCCAAGGCCGAAGTCCTGAAGCCCCAGGAAGCCCACTGATGCAAGTTCCAGAGTCCAAAAGACAACCTGCAGCCTGATGTCCAACAATAGGAGAAGGCGTCCTGCTCTGGAAGGGGAGAGAGAACAGAGAGAGATAAGCCCTCTCTTTTGCCTGTTTGTCCCAGCGGAGCTCCAGCTGATTGGATGGTGCCCACCCACATTGAGGGCAGGTCATTCCTCTCTGTCCATTCACTCCTGCACCAATCTCTCCTGGAAACACCTTCACAGACACACCCAAACCAGTGCTTCACCAGCCAGTGAGACCTACCATCTCATTTTAACTTTTGAAATAGTCAAGGAAAAAAGCAAATGAGTGAGGTACCTGATTCAAATGCTATGTTCTTAGAATTTCTGGTGAGACTACTACATCTTCTGCCATGATCAAGTACACAGTTTGGAATGCAATACTTTTAGTTTGAAATGAATGGTGTAGATCGCCTTGTTGAAGAGTAACTGAGTAACTCAAAGAATGTGTAACTCTCTGTGAGAGAGAATAATAGGGACTTTGGAGGCAATATGATGAAAATATTTTTGAAAGTTTGGCTTAGGGAGCTTATTCGAATTATTTTGTTAGAATTCAAAGTGTGATGAATTATTCCAAGTCTAGCAACTAATAAAACTTAAGATTTATTGCTTCAGGATTTTCTTGCATAGGACTTACTAAGTCCACTGAAAACAATGATGCAAGTCATGCCATCCCAGGTGAAAGTTACAGATATTGTTAGTGGTTATCTCCCAACGTAAAGTTTTTACTTTTAAACCAGTGCAGGTCTCTGATTAAATGTAAAAATAAAATTGTGTTCATTGTCCTTGATGTCAAGCAAAATAAATAAAAAGGGATAGAACAAAATATTAACTAAAACTTTTACATAGGTAAAAAGAAAACAGTTTCATTGAGGAGAAGTAAAAAATATTTAGAAGGTAACTTTTAATAGGAAATAGAAATGAGGAGTGATTGCAAAAATAATTGGGCTGTATCATAGATATTGTTAAAGTAATTAGACTTGGAGTCCGAATGATAGATCTGTAAACTGAAAGCTAACACGGTTGTTTTTTTTTTCATTATAGTTGAAACTTCTGAGTATTTAAGGAATGAAGTCAGAAAATGGTATTTGCAGATGTTCCTCTGGAAACAAAAGTTCCATCATTGTAATAATTTGCCCTTTTATCCATTATCTGTTATTTACTGGCTGAGTTTGGGCTCAGTTCTCCAACTGCCCCAGCATAATTAACTGTGTAGGTCATCTAAGGAATTGTATTGCGGGCAGCAAGAGAATTTGAGTCTCATTTTTACTACTCCAATTTTATCTTGAGTAATTTTGCAAGAGTAAGTACTTGAAATATAGAGGGCACCATAATTGAGCAGCATTAGTCTGTGCGTGCCAGCAGTAAGTGAAAGCAAGGATCATTTTCGGCCTCACTACTATCCTTATCTCACTTAAGTAGAGTAAATATCTCAAAGATGCTAGAATAAAGGTCTTGTGCGATACCTGGATGCTGTTCTTGAATACTGAATGCATGAGACCTTCATTAACCAAGAGATCTAATTGAAGACACTTTTCCACCCTTCTCCTTAGGGATCTGACAAACAATCGAATAGGATGTCTGAATGCAGACATATTTCGAGGACTCACCAATCTGGTTCGGCTGTAAGTACATCTTTTCTTTCCCATTAAAAGATAAGAAAGCGTTTGAGCCAGTACCTAAATATGTATGAAACTTATGATATATTTAATTATAAGTAGGAACTATAGGGGTTTTAGAAGCCATAAGGGACAGGGAGCTCACAATTTAATCATGGGGGTGTAATCTGCTCAGAATATAATGGTACCTTACCACACCACACACAGACACATGTGCACACACAGACACATGTACACACACACCACATAACACAGTGTAGTACATGCAACAGAGAGCACATTCATGCTGAGAGGTATGATCAAAAGCTTTGCTAGTCTGGGAAAATTTGAGCTGATGTGCACTGATGGCCCAGATTTACAGAGATCTGGATAGTTAGAAAGGAAAAGAAGCCAAACCAATGATACATGAAGGTGGGAATGAGAACCAAGGCCATTTGTCAAGGGGAGGGCTGGTAGACTTGCAGTAAAATAACCATTTGAATTGTGCCTCTGACCATGTGATTTGGGGTGAGTTGTTTGACTTTTCTGTTTTTCACCTACAAAGTAGGATTAATAGTAGCTCAAAGTTACAATGATTATTTAAAATTTAAGTTATATATATCTGTTTATTATAATTTATATAGAATATAAATGTGGAAGAACTTTGTATAAGTCATCAAGTATGTTTATATCTTTTTTAAAAAAAGAAGTTTTAAGCCAGGCACGGTGGCTCACGCCTGTAATCCCAGCACTTTGGGAGGCCGAGGCAGACAGCTCACTGGAGGTCAGGAGTTGGAGACCAGCCTGGCCAACATGGTAAAACCCCATCTCTACTAAAAGTACAAAAATTAGCCGGACGTGGTGGCGCATGCCTGTAGTCCCAGCTACTCGGGAGGCTGAGGCACGAGAATTGCTTGAACCCGGGAGACAGAGGTTGCAGTGAGCCAAGATTGCGCCACTGCACTCCAGCTCTGGGTGACAGGCCAAGACTCTGTCTCAAAAAAATAAAAAAAAGTAATAAAAGTTCTGTTTGGGAGTAATTATACATAAGGCTGATTATTTATAATAGAGCTTTATTTTGAAATGTATGAAAAGCAGATTGGGGCTTAGAACTGATTAAACAATAGGAAGCCACTAAAGATACTTATGTTGGAAAATGGCACGAAATCGTATTTTAGAGACAAGCTGGCTGGGAATAGGGTTCCGCATGAAATGCTAGATGTGGAGTGGAGGTCAGTGTAAGGGTTGTCTACTTGTGGTTCGTTCTCCCTGTAGCTTTTTAGAATGTTTCTTGTATTTCATGTTACCTTTGAAAAACCAATTAGGAGCTTAAATGATGAGATTCTTTCATCTATACAGTAAGGGAAGAGACTTCAGATCAGTTATTAGAGTAGAACAGAATGTTCCTGCTGCATAGGAAATTTGTAGCTGTTTTCAGTGTGTCCTTTCATTTTCAGGGAAAGGTATATGGCCTGATTTTTGTTTTTCAATAAAAGATTGATTTAGTGTGCAGCTTTACTCATGACTGGAAGTTAGTTAAATTAATTGCTTCTTAACTCCTTTGTAACTGCTTTGCAAACATTTCTATCTCAGTGCTTTTTAAAATCTCTTCTTGAGAATTTTGTATTTTTACTTTTTTTTTTTTTGAGATGGAGTCTTGCTTTGTCGCCCAGGCTGGAGTGCAGTGGCACGATCTCAGCTCACTGCAACCTCTACCTCCCGAGTTCACGCCATTCTCTGCCTCAGCCTTGTGAGTAGCTGGGATTACAAGTGCCCGCCACCACTGCTGGCTAATTTTTTGGTATTTTTAGTAGACATGGGGTTTCGCCATCTTGGGCAGGCTGGTCTTAGACTCCTGACTTCGTGATCCACCTGCCCCAGCCTCCCAAAGTGCTGGGATTACAGGTGTGAGCCACAGTGCCTGGCTGTATTTTTACTTTTGAGGACTGCGTTAGAATGGACAAAATCATACATCTGTGAAGGAGACTTTTGTTATATTTTTTGGACAGCTATGACCGAAGTAATGGAAAACAAAATAGTAAACTGGAGTCTACTATTTTGTTGATTTTAGTTTTAGATTGATTTCTAGCTCTGGCCTAGGGATTTGACACATCAGCACATGTTCTTTAGGCAAAAGAGCTGAGTGGGACAGAGCTTCTGTTAGGGCAGGTTGCTGTTTTCTTAGTATTTCCTTTGCCTCCTTCGTCAAGAACTAAAATGTTTGGTAGGTTTAGAACTTGGGTGGTCTCTTACATTTTTACCAATTATACCTGTTGTGAGAATTTATACATCACGGAACACAATGAACATCATCCAAGTAAAACATTAAAACATAAAAATAATATTGCCAAGCTTCCCACTTTGAGATTTGATTGAGATAATCTTATAGTTCATGTACTAATAGATGATAGTGGCCTTTAAATTTGATTTACTTTTATTTTTATATAGATTTCTGGGGTACAGGTGCAGTTTTGTTACAGGCATAGATTCCATGGTGGTCAAGTCAGGGCTTTTAGGTATCCATTACCTGAATAATATACATTATACCCATTAAGTAATTTCTCATCATCCACCTTCCCACCCCCTCATGCGTGTGATTCTCCACTGTCTGTCATTCCTATTGTGGATCTCCTAAATGGAGCAGTCTGTGGCATATACAGCAATATACCTGGCCTACATCTTTTAAATACTTTGTAAAGAACAACATGGCAATTAAGGAAACTTCTTACCACTCGGCATTGTATTGCAGTGACATTGCTTATCATAATTTGGGTTGGCACAGGTCTAGAGCTGTGGATCAGGAACATTAAGTGTTTTGCATGGGTTGCTGCTGTCCCCAGATTTTTGAGCTCTTGAGCCAGGCCATATGCGGGTTGTGAAGGCTGATAACAGCTCATATTTCAGATGTAGAGAATGGCATTTTCTCAGTCCAGTGAGTGGAAAAGTGAATATGATTAGGAATGGAGCATGCAGTACATTCCTTAGATTAGGAATCAGAGATCTTCCTCTTACTGTTTCCCACCTGAAAGAGAAGGTATACAAAAAGAAGGAATTCTAGAGTGGATCACTGTTCTAACTGTTTCCTCTGGTAACTCTTGAACTGGGGACCTCAAACTGAGTGGGTCCCTTAGCCAACTTCCTTGGCTAAAGGTTGATGAGACCTTGGCGGACAGCCTAGGCATTCTCAGCCAGATTTCTTATCATTTTTGATCGAGTCTTGGCTTTGGAAATTTATGAATTCATTTTTTTGAAAAAACTACCCTTTCTTTAAGTGTGTCAGAGACCTTAGTAGACATGGGTGGAGTGGGGGTGTAAAATTGATTAATTCTATATATTGATCTCTGCCTTTGCTGATGGAGAAGTTCTCTTGAACTAAGAGCAGTGTAGTCCTACTTGCAAAGGTTCTCACTGTGTCCCACTGTAACAGTGGACGTAACTGGCAGACCAAACGGGGAGCCAATAATGGACTTCTGTGAAGCCTGTGTCTTTCACTTAGGAAGTTAATTTGCAGAGGAATGTCAGGAGATGTACAGACCAAAATCTCTGTCAGGAGATCTACAGACCAAAATTTTTTCAAGTTGTTCTTTATGGGCAATCTAATACCTGTATTTTTTCCTCAAGAATTATACTTTTAATATTTCCCTATCAGAAATATATGTATTTATAAGAACTACCCTTTACAATTTCCTTTATATGCAAACGTGTGTGTATGTATTTGTATATAAATACATATATACAACTAATATGTTTGTATAAAGAACTTCCTTTATACAAAAAAGTGGTTGTTATTGAGTAATAAAATCATATGAAGGAAAAATTAGATCTCTTCATCATTTCAGTTGCATCATCCTGAGATAACTGGTATGTGTGTGTGTGTGTGTGTGTGTGTATATATATTTTTTTTTTTCTTCTGTTATACTCAGAAATGTGTAGACACACATACAGGGCTTTAAAAATGCTCTGTACCTGGCAACTCAGTTTAAAAATAATTTACCAACATATTAACATCTTTTTAATAGAGCACATGTTGATTTAGTTCATGCTTGTCATTGGCTACAGAATATTCTAGGTATAGAACAGATTGTAACTTAGTCATTCCTCTGTAGATGGAGATTGCATTTAATTGCATTTTCCCCTCCTTTACCAAATCTGCCCTGATAGAGGCTTCTGTATAATAGATGATGCATCATATACACATGCAACTCTTAGGAATTCAAATGTATCTAGTTAGCAAAAAATAAGTAAATAAAGTCAAATTAAGTGAAAGTAAGAAACAACAATGGCCAGTCACAGTGGCTCATGCCTGTAATCCCAGCACTTTGGAAGGCTGAGGTGAGTGGATCACTTGAGGTCAGGAGTTCGAGACCAGCCTGGCCAACATGATGAAACCTCGTCCCTACTAAAAATAAAAAAATTAGCCAGGCCTGGTGGCATGTACCTGTAATCCCACCTACTCTGGAGGCTGAGGCATGAGAATCCACTTGAACCCGGGAGGCAGAGGTTGCAGTGAGCCACTGCACTCCATCCACTGCTCTTCATCCTGGGCAACAGAGTGAGACTTGTCTCAAAAAAATAAAAAATAAAAGAACAGCATAAAGGGTGGAATGGGCGGGTAACTCACCTGCTGCTCCTTTCTACGAGCTTATTATGATAGAGGAGCAGTGGCTTTGCTCTTGTCATTCTCAACTCCCTTTTAGTTTTATTTATTTACGTATGTATTTGGTGAGCATCTCAGAGCTAGACTGTGATTGTAATGTTTTAAAATATGTGTCATTGTTTATGGCCCCCAAATCCAAGCTACTTACTTCACTTGTGTTCAAGCTGTACAAATAGCAGTCTGTTCCAACACTCAAGGAAAAATTGGTTTGCGTTGGAATTTCCTGAGAAAATGCCATGTCCTTCTCTAATGTGATTCTTTCCTTTGTGATTTCCAAGGGAAATATCTAATAATATGCATATTAGAACCTAGTGATTGCTGTAAGATGCAATTCCTTTTTTTTTTTTTTTTTTTGGAGACAAAGTTTCACTCTGTTACCCAGGCTGGAGGGCAGTAGTACCATCTTGGTTCACTGTCACCTCTGCTTCCCGGGTTCTAAGCGATTCTCCCACCTTAGCGTCCCAAGTAGCAGGGACTATAGGCACACACCATCAACCTGGCTAATTTTTGTATTTTTAGTAGAGATGGGATTTCACCATATTGGCCAGGCTGGTCTCAAACTCCTGACCTCAGACAATCTGCCTTGGCCTCCCAAAGCGCTGGATTACAGGTGTGGGCCACTGCACCTGGCCCAATTCTTTTCTTTATACGTAAGTCCTACATTTGTAGGATGGATATTTATTTCTAACTTATTGTTACGGAATCTTGCAAACATTTAAAGAAAATTGGAGACAATTGTACATATAAGGAATGTGTGTGTACCCATTGCCCTGTCTCAGCACTTCAGTTTTACCTACCATGTCTTGTCTTCTAGCTTTCATTATTTTAAACATATTCCAGTAATCATATAATTAAAATGGGATACTTTCATAACATACACAGTTGTTGATTGTAATTCCATCTAAGTTACTTTCTTAAAAAAATTTTTTTTTTGAGATGGAGTCTCACTCTTGCTCAGGTTGGAGTGCAGTGGTGCAGTCCCGGCTCACTGCAACCTCTGCCTCCTGGGTTCAAGTCATTCTGGTGTCTCAGCCACCTGAGTAGCTGGGATTACAAGCACACGCCACCACACCCAGCTAATTTTGTAGTTTTAGTAGAGACAGGGTTTCACCATTTTGGCCAGGCTGGTCTCAAACTCCTGACCTCAGGTGATCCACCTGCCTCGGCCCTCCCAAAGTGCTGGGATTTTCGACGTGAGCCACTGCGCCCAGCCAAAATGATTTTTATTTTTTATTTTCTTAAAATGCTATTATGATTTATACTGCCATGGGCATACCTTTCTCACAATTCACATTTGATATCTGTTCTGATAGGCCAAAAAAAAAAAAAAAAAAAAAAAAGACATCCCTTTCCTCCTTTCAATTTGAAAATACTCTTTTCTGTTTAAGTTCCTAGGTACTTCTTCTATGAGAATCATTGAATCCAGCCTTTTTCTTACAAAAAAAATTATAAAATATGAAAACCAATCCAGTGTTGTTCTTGCTGAAGGTCATTGTAGGTTAATTTGTAAAGTGTTGGCCCTTGTGTGATATCAGGTCTTCCCATCCAGGAATATGTTGCTACTGGTGTCCCAGGAACAGCTGACCCCTCCCTGATCAGTTCTCTTCTCCAACTCCACTTGGAAATCCATCTACCCGATGGTCGCTCTCTCCCACATATGAAGGATTCAGCCCAGCTTCCAGAGAAGTTTCAGGACTCCAGATTTCTATCCCATCCTCTGCTGTGTTCCACCCCCCACCTCACTTCTAGAACTCTACGTCTCAATTCTGCCTGTTCTTGATACCACAGCAGGCATAGAACAGATCTGGTGGTGATTGGCCATATGCGATTTTCCCAGAGCACTCAGTCTCATTTTAACATTAGAAGTGCCCTGAAGGTGAGGTGTACATCCTGAGCAATGAGCAGTTATTGAGCACCATTTATACTCCAGCATGTTACTGGTGTACACGGAAGTGCACACAGACACAGGCCCTCTTCCACCCAGCTCCAGAGCTCATAGTCCAGTATGGAAGAAATACTTTAGTCAAATTGTTTGGGGTGTAACAAACTACTCACATTGTAGAATAAGGGTTTCTGAGTTCCATTCATTCAGAACGCTGCAAGACTCAGGTTATGTATTGAAGCCTACTGACACAGGATAGACTAGAGAAGTGATTTGCCCAAGAGCAACATGGAGTTCTATCCCCAGTCTCTCATATTAAGCCCTGAACTCATCTCGCTCTCCTCATGATTTTCGGTCATGTTTAGTACGCTACTGCTGCTGGTCATTGAGGCCATCCTTTTCCTTTTGTTACTTTTAAAGTTTTAATTATTTATTTTCTATTTGTTTTTACATTTTTATTTGCTGCTTTCTTAAATTAGATGCGAGTGAACACTTAGAGTAATACTAGTGGGAATTCAGTAGGGTACCTTTTAGGTTCACCTGATATTTGACAGAAAAATTCTTACCTAGCATTAATGTGTTTTTAATAATTGTATTTACTACTTTGTATAAGGTGAGGAATAATTTTCTTCTTCAACCTTGGAGGAAGTATTTGCTAATCACTCCCTCTTTGTAAGCATTGATACTTTCATGACTTCTTTGTAACATTATTTAATGACTGTAGGATGCTTTAGAAAATACAGAATAGGATAAAATGATAGATAGTTGTATTTTTAAAAGTGGAATTGTTTTCTGTCTTTCAGAAACCTTTCGGGGAATTTGTTTTCTTCATTATCTCAAGGAACTTTTGATTATCTTGCCTCATTACGGTCTTTGTAAGTAAAAAAATTTTTTCTCTGTTTTTTGATTTTCATGTCTTTGAAAATTAAAAACATTTATTATGTGGTTTCAGAGACTTTATAAGGACAATCTTGTCAAGTTAGAATCTCATTTGAGAGCTTGCATTCACGTTAGAAAACATACAGTAAGCCTGAATACTGTGATTTAGACTAGGACAACTGTTTTCTCCTTAGGATACCATATTACTCTAATCTATATTTAGAGTAAGTAAACTGGTAATTTTTTCTTTTTGACTTTTTTTTCAAATCATAAAATGTTGCATTGTTTGACTAATTAAATTTCCAAAGTATAAAATATCCCTTCCTATGAAGAATTTGTAAGAATATTTTATACTTTAGGAATTTAACTTTATCCTGTAAACCCACCCCCATCCCCCACTTAAAATCAAATTTACAGCTTATTACTGATGTTTCTAGGGATGTTTATTTAGAATGCCTGCTTTATGAAATCAGTTTAAGTTCTGATTTACAGTTTCTTGTAGCTTTAGAATTGGTTGATTTTTTTTTTTCCAGATGATTTTGTTAACAGAGAGATTGCATAGAAGTTATTTTGAAAGTAGCTATTTTCAGATAAACCTTAACATATCTCAGACTCTAAATTATCCTAATTTTATTGGAATTACAGTTAAATGTAATGTTTTTCAGGTTTTCATTGAGTAATTTATGGGATTGAGTGTTTTTCTTCCAGGGAAAGAATTTTTCTCTCCTGATTCTTCTCTTCCATGTACTCTGACTTCTCCTCTCATCTCCCTTCCTTTCCTACACCTGTCATTTAAATCTCATTTAGGAATCTTCCTTGGGATGTAGCTAATAGCTATTAGGAGCCCCAGCCAGCTTCTCACCATCATAGCAGGCATGTGTATGTACTTCTGAAGTCACTTTGGCTCATACTCCATCTTCTTTCTCTTTTTGGCACCCTTACCATTCTTATCCAGAAGACTACCTTTGAGCACAAACACCTACTTTTGGCATATTTAGTGGGCTCAGGTCAGCCTTTTCTGCAAAGATTAGGAAATAAAAAAGACAAAAGCTAGTTTGGGTTTTGAGACCCTGGGTAGCAGGAGCATGGGAAGTATTTCATCCCCAAAATGGGAGAAATTGCTAGTGTTTTTTACCTGGTAGTGTTAGGAACTGACCAGAAGGTGGTGCTTAGAAATTAGGAGTCTGTCACATCCTCCTCCTGGTGTTGTTTAAATTTATTTTCTGTGCTGTATTCCATCAGATCCCTTTTCTTTTTTCCTTACTCTTTTTTGCCAAAACTAACGAGGTGAACCATGAGCCAACACTCTAGCTGTGTTAGAAGCACACACACTTAAACATTATTGCACTTTGTTGATTTATTTTTATAGAACATATTGCATTCTATTTTAGCTATGTTTACATTTTGATTCTTCTATTATATGTTGCCCCCCATATTGGCAGGAACAGGGTCCTGCATTTATTGTTATTAGCTGGACTTAACAAATGTGTGGCACATGAATAGTCAGCACTTAGTAATTATAGTATTTAAGAGATTTGTGCTTATATCTCAGCTCTGTTTATCCTTTCTTCTTCTCATGCCCAAGTGCCAAATTATAAAGGTTTTTGCCTCAAATGAAGACATTTCATTACTATCTTTTGTATCAAAGCTGAGACATTCTTATTTGTATGCTTTTGATTTGTTGGGTCTTTATCTCTTACATTTGTAGATATCTATGGTGTCACTTGGTGCATAGCAGAAAGGGGTCAGAAACAGTTCCTACCCTAGGGGAGCTCACAGTCTGGTTAGAAATACAGAATATAGTCACAGAAAACAATCCATATTGCTTTAGGTTGCTGTTTCATTGTCAAAATCAACAGAGTTGGTAGGCATTTAGGACAAGAATGTGATAATGATGCTGGAAAATTGGGGATGGCTTCAAGATCTAATATTAATGCCACACACTTCATGATAAATGGGTAGAAGCTTGTTAGACAAAAAGGAATGGGATTTGGTATTCTAGAGAACCCTGGTGTTCAGTAGCTTGTTGCCTAGAAGAGGGATATCTGCCAAAGAGTCTTTGTTTGCCTACCAGATTTCATCCAAAGCAGAAACTAGGGACCAGCAAGAACAGTGTTGGGGTCCAAAACTCTGCAATTCAGCTCCTTGGAGAGAAACTGTAGCTAGCCAACGAAATGTGCTTTAGGTGTGGTATGGGTGAACAGTATTGTGCTTGCCACCAGAAACGTAACCTAATATAAAACAAAAGTGCTATTTAATTTTATTCACTATAATCTCTTAAGTTGCATTTACATGTTACAGGGAATTCCAGACTGAGTATCTTTTGTGTGACTGTAACATACTGTGGATGCATCGCTGGGTAAAGGAGAGGAACATCACAGTACGGGATACCAGGTGTGTTTATCCTAAGTCACTGCAGGCCCAACCAGTCACAGGCGTGAAGCAGGAGCTGTTGACATGCGGTAAGGGAGAAATCCAAACTGAGAAAGCATTTACCATATTTTGACTTTCTACCATGTTTTTCTTGACAAATTGTAAGATTCTCTTTATACTTGGACAGAACTAGTATGCAGCCATTAATCATTATGAATTTGATAATATTTACTTTATGCCAACAATTAAGCCAGCTAGATTAAATGAC